CTTTAAAATTTAATACAAGGCTTCTAAGTCCTAATATATTGTTTCAATGACGGTTGAAAAATATTAAAAATACATAGTCACAATTTTTTTAATAAGCATTTAAAGTTCAAATGTTGACAAAATACGTAAAAATCATAAAAAAAAATAAAAAAAATTTGAGTTAGAGATTCAGAAAAAAATTTCTTTTTAAATCTAATATTTGAAAATTAATACAAGATTCCTAATAAGTTTTTCTATATTTATCAAATAAAAAATATCTACTTGACAGTAAAATTAAATTTATACGCACACATTTACAAGATCCGCATGTATACAATTTGAAAATGCCTAATTTGAACTCCTTAAAAATTGTCCATTTCCAATTCTATTAAAATGCTCCGAATATCAGTAAAAATATAGCAAGTCACTGGGACAAGACCCCGTAGCTATCTCCTCTAAGGTCGGCCCTGATAACTACAATTATCATGTAGACTTCTGTCTTATAATATTTAAATGTCATACATTGCCAAACAAATGAGCATGACAATTATTAACAATAACTATTCTGTTATTTCTGTAACAAAATATATGAACCATGTATATGGTTTGTATATAGAGACAGAATTTAATTGCTATAATATTGTGAAAAATCGAATAATTTTATTTTATAATTGCATACAACTTACGTGGAAATATAATATAGGTACGAATATTATAAAAATTAAAATTGTGTAATAATTAATGAATATCATATCATTCATAGCATTGTATTAATACAGATTCTTAAATGGATAATATTGTGTATATTATATAGGTAGTAGGTACCTACTATAGTACTATATATTTATCAAATAAATAAATATTATACTTTCATAATTGTTAGAATTCTAAAATTATATTATAATATATTCATGATTATTTATAAATAAATTGTAAATGCGAATCAAATAAGTTCCACAATATTTAATTATAATCATAAGAAAAACTGTTTTTAAAAATAGAAAAATTGTACATGTTTTTTATTGAAATCATTTCTGGCAATGTGCGTTTTAATTTAGTTTCATTTTGGCAGTTATTTTATTAACTTTAAAACTCATTACACTTTTTACGGGTTCCTTCAGAAAAAATACAAATATATAATAAGTTAACGAAATCAAATATAATTTAAAATGTATTTTCATTATATTTGTATTGGTAGGTAAGTAATTTGAGTTTATGATAAATTCTGGTGGATTTACAAAAGACTTACTATAATAATAATTAATATTGACTTTTAAGGTTTTTCTTTATATAATTAAACTTTAAAAATCAAATCAGAACTTTTTTCCTACTTGTTATTCCTACTCGCCGTATATTATACAATTATTTATCGGCAGACACGAATGGGGGGGCACCAAGTCAGGTAAACGCATATTTTTTTGAATGAAACTGTTTCAGTGGTTTCACCTACAGTCAATATTTATCATTGATTAATAAATCCTAAATAAAGATTGACAAATATATTTACAATTTATATTTGACAAATAATTTACTATTTAATATATTTTAGATTCCGAGCAGACGGCGGAGCATGATGTATTGATATTACCATGATGTGTATGGTCTGTAATCACCTTTCGGAAAAATAAAAATAATTTCGACTTTCATAGATGTTGTTTTAAAAAAAAAATTATGCATACAATAGTAATACTAAAAATTATAGTTATTAGGTATTACTAGGTATACATAATATTATCATGTAAATCATATTATGCTCCCATATTATAACTAATGAAAAGTAACAGTAGTTTACAACTTATGAAATAATTAATGATATTATATTATAGTTACTTATTGATTGGGAAGTCCATATAATATGACGTATAGTCCATAATTATTTTTATTAAACATAAAAACCATAAAAACTACACAAAATTTAAAATTTAAAATGTTTATGTGAAATAATTTAATTTGAATTTATTAACTTTTAAGCAGGGCTTGCAAACGTTATAGTTGACAAAAAACTATTGAAATTTGTAACCGTCATTATAACGGAAAGCGATATTATATATCATTAAACAAAACTTAACGCACAGCGTAACTTACAGAAAATCATTAAACGAAAAATAATGCAAAAAGTAATTTATAGAATATCATTTAACGAAAAATAACGCAAAACGAAATATTTTAAAATCTATTTATTTAAAAGGTCTATTGGTTTCGTAAAAACATTTATTTCATGTAAACAATCTATGAATTGATTATAATATTAAATTCCCGTATCCGGGCCATTACCTACCCGCAATAGTTATTATTTTTAAATTGAATAGGTATTAACACTATTTTAAATAACGATAAACTCAAAACTTGTACAAAGTTTTAATTGTAAATTAACATTAAACGTAATTCTTTTTCAAATGCAAGCCCTGATGATAGGTACATCTGCAATACATTATTTTATGACAAAACCTCAATATTTTTATGGTCGTTTCCGTATGATAATGACAAATAGGCCATACATTCTAAAATATCTATGATAATTACACCGTTAATATTAGAGGAGGGGCTTAATTTTAGCCTGAAATATTAAGTCCGACAGTATTTTAGTCGGCTGAATGCAAGCCCTGTTTTTAAGTAACTACCTATTATAGAGAGATCAGATATAAAATATAATATATCATAGTACAATTACTGATGGTTAACCCGGTGGTGGGGTGATACATTTTATACAGCGAGGTAGAGGTATATACAAGTAACCTTTTTTTCATAACTTGGCAATATTGTCATGTGATATTATGATGATTGTTACTATGTATAAATAATGAATAAAATATCGATAATGTTGGAGGTTCAACAAGAAGACTATTAATATAGCTGTATCGATTTTGTAATATTTACCTTTTGTAATAATAATGTATGCAGTTCACTTCGTAGAGGTATATTTTACATTGCATTTTGATGGCAGATGAACCGCTATATATCACTATATGAGTAGGGTATTATGCATTTATTCATAAAACAAAAACAATACTATAACGTATAAATACTATAACGGTCCGTTTGCTTATAAGTAGTATCAGCTTGTCCGCTATCGACAGACGACGTCTTACACTTATCTATTATTTCCATGGAAATGGAGAATTTGAGGTAAGAAAGTGTTGTCATATTATGTACCTACGTACTTTACTTTTTGATATTATAAAATAATTACATGGATAGGTGTCTTGGTATTTGGTTGTCTGATGTCTGAATCATATTTTAAAACTATAGGTCAAACGATCAATTAATAAAAATTAATTGTACATCAATAAAATAATTGCACCCTTAATTTTCATTAGGTATGCTTACCGTCTCGACACCACTCCTGACTTGCATAATAAGTACCTACCACTGTTCACCCATGTGTTTCCACATGTATTACGTATATAAGACACCAAATATATATGATATTATTACACTTAAGATTTCATTCAGGTGAAATTAGTATAATAACTAAACTAAAATGATGATCAAAAACATTTATATTTTGATTAAATTATTCACAACAAGATTACATAGACTCTTCGTAATGCGAGTCTGTGACACTTATGCAGTTATTTAGTGTATTATATTCATATTTGTGAATTTGTTTTAGTCCAAAGTCTAATCTACTTAAAATATTATATACTTGTATCAACACTATTTAACAGTAAGTTGTAAATATGTCAACGAAAAAAGTCACAGAAACGTATCTTTTTCACCAAAACTCTAGAATGCTTGTAGTAATTGTAACTTCGACCTTATATATAATATTTTATTATTTTTTTTGCCATCATTTTTGTATTAATTAAACTAAAATATATATTATGTAAGTCATAAATGTAATATGAGCAAAACAATATTGATATCTATAATATTATAATAATTAATAAGTATAATGTTTAATTAATAATATTTATATTCATTATTATTGATCGAGGCATAGGTAATATAAATGTCATATAATATACTGAAGTTAAATTTTTCAGAAACTTTGTTATTTTACAATTCAACGATGGCTTGGAAATAGTCAGTAAAAACTGGAGAATTAATGATAACAGTTTCTTTTATCCAATGGGAGTTAAAAACAGAAACGAATATTTCAAATTATTAAACACCATGGTTCGCCCAGGATATCATAATGAGAAATATGATTGGGTACCTCTCTACGTAAACAAAATATATGGTTCTGAAGGTAAATATTTCAAAACATTCTAAATTAATTTATAAATAATAATATATAATAAACAAATTATACTGCGATAATATAGGGACGATGATTTGATAAAAAATATTTTTTTCTAGTAAATATTTTTGAAAATTGAGACACATAAAGTTACGCAACTATTAGGTATGATTTCTAGAACTTACACAAACTTAACTTAAACTAAAAATAAAAATTAAGATTGGCTATATTTATGTACCTACCTAATGAAAATATTTTGAAAATTGATTTTACATTAAACATTCAAACATTCATGTTGTTGCATAACTTACTGTAGGTTTAGATAGGTAAAGGTTTCAATAAACCTTATATGTTTAAGACACACTATGTGAGATTATAAGTTGATAACCTATAGATTTAATTTTATGAGATGATGACTTATCCTATATATAATATACATATTTAATTTTCTTTCGTATTCGCATATTATTGTTATAATATAGTTAAACAGTATATTATTTTGGATCAATGTTTTAAAATAAATAAATTAAATAATGTTAAATATTAAGTACATATTTTATACCTATGACTTAATGTAATTGAGTCTTGATCTCTATAATTCGAATATTTTTCTTGCCCCTTGAAGTGGTTATAAGTTGTGTTTGAGGTATATAACTCGAAAAATACATAAGTCGCATTTATTTTGATTGTCTTTGAGATTTCATCTATTAAGTTATCGAGACTCAGCTGTAATATCCATTACAGATAGTACAATCGTAGTTAGTAGTTGTAGTTAAATTTAAATTTTCATAGATACCTAATAACTATTTTCATTTTTCTAGATGTGTTTGGAAAAGCAATGGGTAAATTAGAATGGTTCAAATATTACAGTTCCATTGGTGAAACTGACGCTAAGAACCCGTGCAATGGATATGCCAACAAACACTATCCTCCACCAAAAGAATTAAACTGGATAAATGTTGAAAACAAAAAGAGTAGAAGTGAGCCAGCATACAGACCTTTGAAATTTCCGACGCCTCTACTTGATTCGTTGAATCAAAAACCGCCTACCGTTTCAATCCCATTTAATAGGGATACTGTAAACGGTACTAAGGAACTTTTGGCCGGTAACATTGACAAAAATGTACCAACTACCTCCACTCAAAGTTCAACCATAACGATGGACAGTAATTAATATATTTTATTCATATATTTTATTCGATATCAAAAGTATATAACGTGGTATTATACATTTTAGGTTGTCCAAAAAAATGTAGTGATGCTCCAGTATCCAAGCTTTCAAAATGTATTACTCCTTCCTCAGGTACGACTAAATTAAAACCAATTATCGTTAAAATTCCTCTAAAAGACACCGTCATTTCTGAAAACTTATCACGTGGTATCATCAATGACAGTAAACCAGCTACTTCCACTCAAATCACTTCGTACCAAAGTAATTATTGTATTTATTTTCATCTTATAAATGTACAAAGTTGATAAGCACACAACATATTATTTTAAACTACGTATCAATGATAGTTTCTATTAAATTCAACAGCTTCGAAATTATTTAAGAATACATTAGACATGTGGTTTAAGGCAAGTACTTCAATCGGTGTAACACCTATGACAGTTAATTTTATTTCACAGTGGTATAAGGGTTGGGAGGGGTGCATCTGAAATGTCTACATTTTTTTTTACCAATGTATAGGTAAAAATGTACTATATTAGGTATAGTATTTTCAGTACAAAATACTCAGTAATTATTTGCGTCTTAATATCTACTATAGATAGCAGTTGATCATCAAAAAAATATTTGAGAACCAAAAACCAAATAAAAGTTGAAATTCCATATATACTCAATAATTACAAACCACTAATATTTACAAATTTAATACGTATCTATAATATCTAATGATATGCTTATTGCTTTTGTATTATTATACTATATCAAGAAATTATGTATTGAAATATAAAATTAGATTTTTAGCATCAGATAATCTAAATTAACCCAATTTGAGTTATCTGTGAAATTCATACTTAAGATAAAAATGTATCGTTATTAAGTATGAATTTCACAGATAACTCAAATTGGGTTAATTTAGATTATCTGATGCTAAAAATCTAATTTTATATTTCAATACATAATTTCTTGATATAGTATAATAATACAAAAGCAATAAGCATATCATTAGATATTATAGATACGTATTAAATTTGTAAATAATAAAAGTACTTATGTACTTATCAAAAGATAAAAATGTATCGTTATTTTGATAAGTAAGTAATTCAAAAAATATCCAAACGTGACATTGGTTAATGATAAAACTATAGGTTAGGTACTTTTAAGTAGTTTATATAATTAGGCAGCAGAGAAAATATTAATTTCGAGAGAAGGGATAAAAATTGTATTTAACTATGATAATGTTGTTTGTATTTACTTACCAATGTCACCTACGTAAAAAAGGAATAAGACCACAAAATATATGTTTAGCAATAGGTACAGCAATGGCTAATGATGACCATTATGTATCATAAAGATACACCAATTACTGGTATAGTTATTTTGTATTTATACTAAATTAATATTCTATTATTATAGTATACAGTTAAAGTATACTTAATATTTTAATTAATTTTGTAAACATGACTTATATCTGTTAATTATATAGATATAAATCTAAGGCCACAGCTGAGTATGTCTGTACCATCATCAAATGTGTTCGATCCAAATAATATCCTTTGTAAGTATCTAAATTAAATATTTATAAAAATATTAGTTTAAGTTTGTTCTAATTCTTAACATTAAGGTTTTTAACTTTTGAAGTGTAAAATAACTGAGTAAGTAGGTATGTACTAACAATTATACACCTCGCGGGATAAAAAAAAATGTTTGCATACATTATTATTTATTAAAAATCAAAATGTTTTTTCGACTTCGTTAATGTATAGGAAAAAGTATGTTAAACTAAATAATAACTTTTATTTGTTAAGAACTTTAAAAAAAAAGGGACAAATGGGTGTCGCTCTAATGTACAGTAGGTTACAAGTGGGTCACTGTAATGCAAGGTGTTAAATTTGAATTGAATGTTAATATAAAAAACGATTCTGAGCGGAGATGGTTTGTCAACCTACCTAAGATATTTTATATTATAATTTTTATTGTTAAAATTAATACGGTAGTTATTATTATTACTATTTGTTCATCACCATAATATTTTATATTCATTTTTATAATACTTTATAAGTTTCAAGTACCCACGAATAATATTTTTAAACATAACACAAACCTAACATCGTTCTTCTTAGTTTAAATATCTAATTTTGTCCAAATTTGAACATAAAATAAATATAAAAAATAAATGTGGTTTATATTTCTCAAATATTTTAGTTACAGAATAAACTACTTACATGGAACCTAGTTTTTAAATTTTCAATCCATAGCAATAAAAGTTGAACAGTTTATACATTTTTAACTACAACAATTTAAAATTTTAAAATGTTGTGAAAATTCTAACTCTATGCTTATAAAAAAAACTGTGCCTATGAATTTTTTATATTTTTCAACTGTTATTGTAACAAGATATCAGTAGCTTTGTATTCAATTTTCACGCTTCGTCCCAACAAATAAAATTTCATTAACATTTATGGAAAAAAAAACTAAAAAAATTAAAATTGAAAATGTCCTTAAACAGCTCAAAACTAGTAAAAGTATTTTGAACATTTTATCAAGTATAAGAGTTGATAAAATAACTAAATGATTAGGTTATGGTTAATTATAATATGGTGTAAATTTCAAGTGTCTATGTCTATTTACAACAAAATAAAAAAAATCGCTTCATGTGAAATCAATTTTGACTTTCCGGTAGACATTTTTTTTCATAAACTTATAAGGAATATTGTATTACATTTTTTAATATTAGATTTATAAAGAGAATTTTTTAAAAGTTTCTAGGTACCTCGTTATTAAGTCACTGTAATTTAAGTTGTTTTAAATCATAATGCTGCAAACGATTCTGAGCTGAGACGATGTATCAGCTTAATATATAAATTATTACTAAGTACATTTCTATTTGCTATTGTTATTATTGTAAATTAATTTTACTATTCGTTATACGGGATAGGTTGTACATGTGGCAAGCGCAGCAATCTGTGTATACTTTTGAGTTAATCTTCATAAATATATAATGTGGGTATTATTGCATAGAGCTTAACTTTTAACATGGAAGTCACCGTAGAGTGGTGTGAATAACCTGTTGTGGTATAAATACTATTTATTAGTTAGCTTATAATAAGTAGTTTAGAATTAATTAGTCTAAATATTTTTTAAATTTCATTGTGTACCTATAGAAAATAAAAATATACATAATGGCAAAAAGTTTTAACTTTAACAGTTAACATTTTTTGAATTATAAAACAAAATACCTTACTAAAATCGTTTGAATAAAAATCGTTAAATTTGAGTTTTAAAAAAAATATAATAATAATTCCGTGCATGTATTTTTGACATTTTTATACATCTGTAAGAGTAACTTCTGCCATTAGATATTCAAATTTAAAATTGTATACATTTATAATTAGAAAATTGTTTTCAAATTTTCGCGATTTTGACAAATATGCATATTATCAACATTTGTAATTCAAACACTTATAAAAAAAGAAGAGCAATGTATTTTTGTCTTTTATTGATATTTTTAAATAGTTGCTTAGGAAAAAATTATGAAGGATCTTGTATTAAATGTTCAAGCTTTTTGATTTAGAAAAATGTTTTGTCGAAATGAATCGAAAAAATGCAAACATCTAAAATATTAATGATAAATAGTTCAAAAAAGTCAAAATTATTTGTCAATTATAGAAAGTAAGTAGGTAGGTACTAAAACAAATATTTTATGAACATTCCAAGTATCTACTATGTTGTTTTTCCTTACTATATTGAAAATAACAGGTATTTTTATAGAAGGTATCATTAAACTAAATCTCATTTGGTAGGTACTTGAAATATCATTCAACACATTGAATGCTTTTTCCTTGTTTCAAAAAGTTACAAAATCAAATCAATGCAAAACCAATACTCACTATGCTCAGAATGAAAGATTAATTAAAAATATAGGATACAATTAAATATGTTGAGGTGAATAAAAAAAATTTTATTTGATAAATAATAATTGGACATTTTAGTAGATAAATATCTCAAATTAAAATTTACTTATAAGTAAATATAATAGTGTTTATTTCAAGTATTATTTCTATATTATAATGCTGTTAACATAATTTTCTTGTGTGATAACTAGTGTTTGAAAATTTCATGAAATTTAAAAAAATGAAATATTTCAGTATTTTAATATATTTTGTTTTATTTTTAAATAAGTTTTATATTTACATATAATTGTCATAAATTACCTCCATCACTATATGGTACCTGCATGTATACCTAACCTTTGGTATTATACATTTAAATTGGTATTTAAAATTTTTAAATATTTTAAAGTATAAATGATACAAGTAGGTATACAATATTATACATGTATATTGTATACTTACTGAATTCTGACATTAGAATTTAGAACACTGAACATTGTGTTAAAAAAATAAATAAATTGTGTTTTTATTTGTGTTAAAAAAAATTTCAATGTTTCACGTTTTTGTGAAATATTTCACAACTTAGTGAAATATTTCTCATACTTCAAACACTAGTGATAACCGACCTACATTTAATTTCTATTATTTGTTATAGATCAAAAAATTATCAATATTGAAAACGTCATTACGGGTATGAATTCAAGAGTTACAAGATCATTGATTAATCAAGATAAAATTATCGGTTTAATAGAAAAACAAAACCGAAAAACTTTAGCAGAAAAGTTGGTAGACTGCAAGGTAGCGTCAGAATTTGAAAACCATTTTACTTTGAACTTTCCTCTAAGGACATTGGATGATGTAGTTGAATTGGAAAAGTTATTGATTGAAAAACAATACTATAAGCTTTTAGTAAGTATAACTATGTATATTATGTCAATAGATTTACAACAATACTACCTGCTATTTAATCATATTGATTTATTCTTACTTTAGGCAGTACTTTAGACGTAACAAACTTACCATATATAGGTAGTTATTAATATCTACTAAAGATCTAGTTAACCAATTTATTAATGTAATTATTATTATTATTATTTATTTCCATCTTCATAGCTAATGATTACAATATAATACAATAATAATATATTTCAATTATTTATCTCGATACAAAGCCCCCCCCCCACATCCATGTTCGTGATTCAATGCCTTGCCACCGCCCTTAGACAATTCCTAAATACGCCTCTAGCATGAACAATCATTAAACATTCATTGAATCAATTGTGAGCTAATCGTACCTTAAACATGATTTAGTGGCTATTTAATTGAACATGAATTAATTAGTTTTTCATGAGACCCGAAAATAGTATAGTTATTTGACACACCTAGATACGTTACTACTTTGATTATAGGAGTATCTGTTTGCTATTTACTTATTACAAGAAAATATTAATATTTGTTTTTTACCTCAACTGTGTACTTAGTACTTACTATACATAATGCACAATGCATACATTGTAGGTATACAACACGATATTACGATGTAATAAAGGAATCATCATTCGTGAACAATTAAATTCCATACCTATAAATTACAAAATATTAGTTAATTTTTTAAATTTTAGAAACGATAAATTCACAAATACGCTTTTATGCGATACTTCAATACTTGTACATTGTGTTCACTATATTTTTATATTGTTTCAGAAGACTAAACTTTTATCATATTCTGGTGCTGATTTAAAATCTGTGATAGTTAATATCTTGACAAAATTGTTCACAAAGAACGTAGCAGCCAAAATAACGCTCACTTCAACTTCGTATTTTAAACGTCCTACATTGCAAGTCACTAATAATATCAATCTTCAAAACAAAAACATATACAAACTAATTATAGGTGGGTACCTATTCCTTGATATAGTTTCTACTAGTTACTATGATATTAATTTAATGATAAGATATTGTTATACGCAGTCGAACTTGGTTAACTCAAACTTTTTGGCCGGTCCCTTATATTTTTAGTTACCCAAGTCCGACTATAATATTAATAGTTACACACTTACGTCATGGTGTCATGTTAAATTTTTGGTCGGTAGTTTTAAAGTGTAATTATAAATTAGGAAATAATTAATATAGTTAGGCTATGTTGTATAATAGGTATTAAAAAAAATCAGGATCTTAATTAGTTCTATGAGAAATTATCAAAAACTTACTTATCAAAATTAATAATTATGTATACCAAAAGTAACTAAAATATTTTTTATTCCAAATAAATATTTAATTTTAGATTCTGAGTTGAACGATGAATGTATTGATTTTACAATGATGTGCGTTTTAGATTCTGAGTGAAACGATGAATGTATTGATTTTACAATGATGTGTGTTAATTTTCAATTTTTAATTTTAATTTTTTTTTATGTCTGTCATCACGTTTTAAGACAGTAAAAGTGCTTGGATTTTCTTCAACAATAGCTTTTCTGATAGGAAAGTGAATCTAGTTGGTACTTTAGGGGGTCAAAAGTAAAAATTTCCTAAGTGTTTTCACAAGCGCCGGGAAAAACAACATAAAAATAAAACCTAGAATAACTATTTTAGTTATTTTGTTGTGATTGTATAATATTATTTGTGGGTACTTGAAACTTCTAAAGTACACTATTATATAGGTATCTATGATAGTATCAGCTAGGGTTTGTTGTTGACGTATAACGCATTATAAGTACCTAATGGATATTGGGATATGATTAATTTGAAATTTATTTTAGGTACATTTTTTTTACTACGATAGATAAGTATATAATATGTCTTATACCTAGACTGCCACACCGTCTCCGCTCAGAATCGTTTTTCTTATACAATGATATTATATCATTGTATTTAAATTTAATACCATCCATTATACAGTTACCCACTTGTAACCTATTGTTGAGCAGAGCAGCTTTTTTCAGTTTTTCGCCATCATGGCGTATATAAAAGTTTTAACGTTAAATATTATAACACGCGTGTATAACGTCCGCTTGAAATAAAGAATTTCCAAGCTACTTTTATTTTAATGAAAATTTTGTGGAGAAATTAATATAATATGAATGTAGCTAAATATGACGATTGTCTATTTGTCTTATTTTATAATAATCAATAACAAGTTTAATTAAAATTATTTTTATTCCTTTAGACGCCGTAATGCAAATATTAAAATGTGACGAAGAGCAGATTAATGCATCAATTCGTGCTTGGTTAAGACACACCAAAGAAAAATTTGAAGAAACAGAGCAGAACAAAAATCAATTGCAGTAACAATGAATTTATGATCTAACATATTATCAGATCTAAAATGTTGTGTCACATCAATCAAACATAATAACTAATTTATGATGGTGGTGGTGTTTTTTTCACTTAGATTTAAATGATACAAGACAGCATTACATTTGTATTGAAATATTATTCGGAGTAAAAAACTTGTTGCTATTGATCAATAAGTAAAATGGTAACTTCAAATACATAATATTGTGGATTGTGACTTTATTCAATTGCTTTTACTTTTTATTATAATATACATAACTAAAACGGTGTACCGATGTCTAGATTTTTATTTATATTTTTATGTTTGGTAGTGAGTAGGTAGTGTTAATAAGTGTTATTTGACTTTTTAGTTTTTACAGTAATTAAATTGTATTGTTTGTCATAGGCAATTTTGTTTTTTTAATTATATGTAATTTAACATAAGACTAAAATATAGTTACATGTTTGTTATTATGCAAATATCTGTGAACAAAATATACGGTCCCAATTGCCTTTGTCACCTCGGGTTTATTATTAATAATAAAAAATATATATTATATACAATATAATAAGGCTGTACATTGTTTATATTTCAAATGAAATATTCGATAACGCTGAGACTTAGTACCTAAAATAATATATACCCTACTAATTATTTTAGTGGAAATAATTTAAAGTTAACATAACATACAAATTATTTCCAATTTCATATAAACTTGAACATATGCTTAAATCCTTATATATATATATGTTTATATGTGGTTTAAATTCTTCCATCTAATATATTATATCCATCTATTACTACAAAATATTTTAGTCACAAACGTCTTTCTGGTTGGCACATACTATTACACGACACGCACGTCCTTGTGCGAACTCCTTAAAAAAACAATCGGTGTAGAATTGCAATAATATGCCAATATACCTACTGTGCATATTATGTGCATTCGCTGTTAATACTAGGAGAAGCGTTTGTAGACAAATACCGAAAACTGTTATAATATTGCTACTAGAACTCAGGTGCCCGACTAATGACTATAATTAAAGCTTAATTGTTTAAAGATGATCGTCACGCAATCATGCCATCTTCTAAATGAATGAAGTATGAATGTGTAGTATTAATAATAATATTTTGTAATTGAGCGTAATAATATTCAATGAATTTAAAGTAATAAATAAATAAAATTCAATTGCAAGTAATAGTTAAGAGGACGCTATACCCGCATGTGTTGTCTCCGTCTTACAAATGTACAACATATCAAAAACTATTTTGCGCGGGAAAGAACCGAGAAGGCTACAGTCATAACTAAGAAACGAAATTTTCACCATATAAAAAGGAGAACTATGGCTGTGCAACGTTGTTTTTATTTTTTTGATATCACTTATATGAAAAAAGTTCTTACTGTTTAAAAAACCGTTATTGTTTGTGTTTTTCAAACTTGAAAAACTTTTTTCATATAAATGATATCAAAAAAATAAAAACAACGTTGCACAGCCAAAGTTCTTCTTTTTATGTGGTGAAAATATCGTTTCTTAGTTATGATTGTAGCCTTCTCGGTTCTTTCCCGCGCAAAATAGTTTTTTGCTATGTTGTGCATTTGTAAGACGGAGACAACGCATGCGGGTATAGCGTCCTCTTAAGTTTGTCGGCAACAGCAATGTTCGAATTTTCATTAAATGTATTATAGGTAGGTACAATACAATAAATTTACATCTACAGGGTGTCCAACCGAGATCTGATAAATTACATAACTTTTGCTGTATACATTTTTTTTTACTTATATAATTTATAGCCACTCGCGCTACACAAATAATATACAAAAAATTGTTTTTATTTTTTAATACTGAAAATAAAAAAAATATAATTTAATTTAAAATTATTTACATAAATTTAAAATAGCCAATTTGTGAATCTGATTATAAGAACAATTTTGATGGTAAAAACATTTTTATAAATCAAGTAGTTTATTTTTTAGAATTCTTTTAAATATCCATACTTTTTTTATTAAATTATTTTGGAACGTAATAATTTTTTTAAAAATATTATTTTTGGGCACTTTCTGACATGAGTATTTTCCTTAAATTATTTGGTAATCACATAGTATTAACAATTTTTGTCATAAGTTTAAGTAGTAGTTGTTTTTGTTTTTTGTCAGATCTCGGTGGGACACTCTGTATATTCAAATATGTTCATATCTTCACTACATAGTTATGATATTTTCAAATGTAATTTTTTTTTTTTTAAATTAATTTATCCTACTGTAGTAGATACCTAATACTAAAATCTATTACTTTAATCACAATAATATCATAAAATCGACCTACTTAATAATATTATATACTTAAAATCTATACCGTATAAAATTATCAATTGACATACCTACATAAATGATAAATTATAAATGATACAAATAATTGATACATTTTGAGCCGTTTAGGCATTTTCAATTTCTTTAGTTTTTTTTTCTATAAATGTCAATAAAATTTTATTTGTTGGGTCAAAATGCTTGGAAATGTAATACAATGCTTCTCATATTGTTACAATAGCAGTTTTAAAATATTAAAATACACAGGCACACATTTTTAATGGGTAATTATTTTAAGTTCAATATTAGAAAATTTAAAATTAAAAAATGATTTTGTACTTAAAAGTATACCTATATAATATTCAACTTTTATAGCTAAGGATTGAAAATTTAAAACAAGGTTCTTAATAAAGTACTTCTAAATAAGGTAGGTACTTAGTTGTAAGGTTCCACATAAATAGGTAAATAAATTACTTTATTCACATCAATAATATCATTAAATATACTTAGTTATATTATAGGCTGACAGACTGTCTTCTCTCAGAACTTTTTTTCGTATACAATGTTCTTATATCATTGAATTCTAATTTAACACCATAAATTACAGTGATCTACTTGTAACCTTCTGTACAACTGAGCGACACCCAATTACGCACTTTTAAAATTTGTATTAAGGGAATTTAATAATGGCAAAGTTTTTTTTTGTTACAAAAGAGACCCATATTATGCCAATTGTACAGACTATTTTAGTAAACGGATACATTTTCTGAAGACATACTTGATTTCCACATAAAATTAACTTGAAAACGGCTTTTTCATTTTCTTTTAATTTAACTTTAAAACCCTTCAAAGTGTAATTTTTACATTTCGAATACTAATAATTTTAAAATACAAATTATATTGAAAAATAAAAATAATAATCAATTAACTAATAACATAATATCTAGGTAACTTATGAAGTTTTTATTTTATTAAATATCAAAATTTTCAATGAAGTATAGTTGTCTGTTATTGTTACTGTACAAGAGTTTTACACTTAAAAAATTAATACATACCTACATTCATAATTATTTTCAGAATAAGATGAAATATTTCAAAAAAATTAATTTTATGATATTTTAAAACCCTAATTTGGTATTTGGTCGATTTTTGTGGCCTGATTTTTTTTTATTGATTAAAATATGCTTTATTTACTTCGGTTTTGTTATAAAATAATAATGTTACCTTTGTAATTTTTGTACGACAGCAAAACACTTATATATTAATAAAAAAAATAACAACTAATAAATGCGCATATGCCGCAATCAAGTATAATATAAATAATTATTATAATGTACTGCTCCCAAGATACATCATCATCCCGTCTCCAATTGATGTTTACTATGACCATTGATTTTATAATATAAAATCAATGCTATGACGTATATTGCACATAATAGTAATATGGCACCGAGTAATTCATATACCGTGGTTTATAAATTACGATCGCCGTTGCCTGGTTACCATCATTATTATAAATTGATAATTCGCATTTCTCACGGCAATCGTATTTTCGTATTCCGTTAATCGTTGTAGAGTTTATACCAAGTATTCAGCTTTTTTTATGTACCTATAGGCCCTTATTTAAATTTCCCGATAGGCCAAAAGTTGATTAACCATCCATCTCTGTACAAAGATAGTAAATACAATATTATGTAGATATGACATTTTTAATTCTATAATTTTAAGGTGTTTATCAAATGTTATTTTTAACTGCATTTAATCCAAATACTATAATATACGATAATACGTTACTCTACGATAATATAGAAACTGGCGAACGATTTCGTAATATAAACTATCATTACATTATAATTGCCCTCCGAGGTTGGCATAATAGTTGCCTATTTTACTCCTTAAGATTAAAATGAACAGTTACCAAAAATATATGATATACAATATCGGAGGGCAATGATATCTAATAATGTGTTCGCCTCTGTTTTAGTACAGAGTGTAATGTTTTATCGTCTACAAGTTGCTGTGTCATTGACTAACCAGTAAAAATGAATGCCCATTAAATTATTTAATAAATAAAAGTGGTTAATCTAATGGTATTGGAATATGATGTGTAACTGCTAACTAAAATCAAAATAAATTCTTAGAATTCGAATCTTTAAAATAGTGTTACTAGACAATCCCTTCTCTCGTCCCACCACGATCTATACTATAGTTAGTTACTATACTATACTATACTATAGTAGTCCTACACAATAATTATTGACTATACTATAATATAGTATAGTCCTATACAATTGTTATTTACTATACTATACTATACTATATACTTAAATGTATTGTACTCATCACATTTGCTTATTGTATAAATTATATATTATATAACCTACATACAGATTGTAAATGTCTATTTTGATAAAAGAAAAAGAAAAGTTACTCGCTGTAGAATTGTTATGAAAACAAATCGACCCTCCAAAGTCTTTTCCACGAAAATGTATTTATTTTTTCACTAGCTGTACGATTTCCGGTGAGATTGGCAAATGCCCGAACGTTAAGCCACCCGAATCCACAACCTCCCATCAACCACCACTCCCTCGTGAATCCATGTCAACGGCATCCGGGGTCTGTGGGTGGTGGGTGCACGAAAGAGTTCAAACAAGTGCCGAGAATGACGTGGGTATATCGGCGGCTGCAGATATATCGGTCATATAGGTG